TCAGCAGAAATTTTTCAATTAGCGGATAGAGTTTTAGTAATTTAATTTAAATTTTTTAAATGATAAATATTCTGATATATATTTTAACTTTTTATCTTTGAATATTTTACAGTCAACGAGTGGCTGTTAGTGCTGTGGCACAACCAAAACCACAATCAAATGTGGCTGCGACAGTGCAACGTCGTTCTGAACCCTTGGCGCCAGTTGCCACTGCTAGTTCATCGAGTTCGATTGTAGATAATTACATAAACACATTGACTCATCTAACTGGAGGTAATACGGCAGTTAGTATAACACCAGCCAAACCAAAAGAGAAGGCCGTTATAGATTTAACTGACGAGGATGAAACACCAGGACAAGTGTCAAGTGTTCAACCCGCCACTCAAGTGCCTGTAACACAGGTACAACGGCGTAGTTTGCCTGGACAAAATACGTCTAATACGCAGCTACAATATGGACGGGCAGCACCTACCATGGCTCGCATACCTCCTGCCAATCAAATGGCCAATAATAAAAATCGACAAATGTCTTCGTTACAAGGTAGTTTAAATAGTTATATCTTGATGGTGTAATAACTATTTAATAATTTTTAATTTTTTTACATTTCAGCTCAAAAGAGTAATTCTTTCACATCCATTAGTACGCCTCCTGGTACCAGTATAACACGTATTAATGTGCCTGCCAACTCTGCAAATATCCAGCGTGTGAAATACAGTCATCCAGCACCATTACCCGCGACTCCTCCACAAGCATTTAATCCTGCATGGAAACTGCCACCTCCGCGACCAACCATACGCATAAGTAATCTTGACAACGGTATTGTTATCTCCTGGACCATGGAGGAATCTATGGATCGTCATGCAGAATGTGTAAGTTATCAAATTTATGCCTATCAGGAGACCTCTGGACCACCAATGGTCGATTCTTGGCGTCATGTTGGTGATGTTAAGGCTATGCTTCTGCCCATGGCTGTTACTCTTACACAGTTCCAAGAGGGCCAACGTTACTACTTTGCTGTACGTGCTGTTGACTGTCACCAGCGTTTCGGCCCCTTTAGTTTACCCAAAACTTGGAGTTAAATTTATTGCACACTCACCCAAACACGCCACTTTTCCTCTCCCTTGTAATTGTAACAATTTAATTTTTTCATCGTTTTTAGTTTGTTTTTAAACTACTCGTTTTTAGTTTCTATATTAAATAATTAGATTTTTAATTTTATTCCTCAAATGGGAAAAACACTACAAAAAAGGAAAAAATAATTTAAATTTGTTAATTTATCGTTTCTTATTATTTTTTTTATTTATTTTGAAATCACCAACTAACCAATTCATAATTTTACGCACATTCTACTCCATGAATATAAAATTAAGAATTCTTAATACATAAATCACATGTAAAACCATAAAATAGAGAAAAAAAAGAAGGAGAAAATTCTCAAGTACAAACCTCTTCAGATGTAAAGAGGTTTCGTTGCTTAATCCAGAATATTTTAGTTTTTATTTAGTATTTTTACTGTGTAGTCTTAAATTATACTCGTATTATTATATTAAAATAATAAAAATAATACAAAATATTATACTTTAAGAAACAATAACACACACACATACTACATACACACAATCAGACATTTAGATTTAGAAATTTAATTGCTGCTAAATCTTTAATTAAATTATAATTAATTTAATGTTAAATATGAAATACAATACTATAAACTACAAAATCTAATAAAAACTATTCAATTTATTAAGTCCCGTAAATGTATAGATAAATATAACTGTAAAGGATAAAGACCGATGCCGAGAACCATTTAATTATTAACATAGAGAACCATTTAAGAATTAACATAGTTCAACAAAAGCTGAAAAAGCAAAATCGATCAGATTAATAAGTCTGATAACACCAGACATTTTAAAACTTATTAAGCGATTACACCATTTGTTATGAATGTTTGAGACTGGTAATACTTTGCGTTGGAATTTTGGACTCTGAAGTAGGGAAAGTTTTTGCTGGAGTTGGTTATTTAATAAGTCGATCTATGGATGAATTAATCCATGTGCTTATCCCATTGTGTTACTAATATCGGTTCCTACACCGACCACACATAAGACAATACATCTGCTTGTTCAATATGGAATCGAACCAACCTGAGGCACGAAAGAAAGAGCTGCTGATTCATGCAATATCGGACTGCCAAAAGACTCAGTCCTAATATCTGACAAAGCAAAGAAAGTATTCTATAGTTTCCGTTACTTCTTGGTTGTGAAAATTCCTTCACTAATCGATACATGGTAAAATCAATCTCCTAGCATGCGCATCTTGAGTCAAGTGCTCTATCGGAATAGCTACTAACAGACTTAGCCCTTTGAAAAGCTTAGAAACCTTTGACCATTATAGAGACACCAGATCATTCTTGATGTCAAGGAAGTGGCTGACCGTTTGGTCTGTGCAGACATAAAAAGTTTGTCACATTAATTTCAAGTGATGTGATTCCTCTCACAGATGGTCCAGTTATCCGGTCCTTACTTTGATCATTACCTTATCAGTTTCAGAAAAATATTGATCTTCATTAGAATTACTTTCTTCTCTGATACTTGGCATTTATGAATATATTATTGTCGCATCTGAACGTAAATAGTATCTGAGGATTTGTATCATCGGAACATATGTCAATATCATATGTAGGATTTCTATCATCAGAACATACATCTCCTGGATCATCCACATTCTCCACTGAATCACATTCGGGTATAATATATAGAACTTGTTGATTATTGTATTCCAGTACCGTCTCTAGTGAGAAAGTTCCAATATCATATCTCTTCGGAGTCTGAGGAATCTCTCCTTCCGCCAAATAATTGCTTCCGAGTGTATACAGACGGATCCAAGACGACGAAAGGAGTTGGTGGTGGCATTTTCATTGAGGAATTTGGAACGAAAATCTCCTTCCGACTAAATGATGAATGTAGTATCCTTCAGGCTGAAATATCGGCGATAAGGAGGGCGGTAAATTGGCTAAGGTACTATCGGATATCTAATAGGGATATCAGAATTTATACTGATAGTCAAGCTGCTATTAAATTCCTAACTGGTGTGTTCTCCACATCCAAAATTGTCCGTGAATGCCGGACGTCTCTCAATGAGATGGCGAGACATTCGAACATCACCCTAATTTGGGTAAAGGGACATGGGAATTCGTATGGCAACGGTATTGCTGACACATTGGCAAGAGCTGGCACTATGCTTAGCAGAATGGATATAGATCAGTTCTGCGGTATACCACTACTTGCAGTTAAGAGGCAAATCAGTGAAAAATGCCTCTGCATCGCTCGCGACAAATGGTCGCGTGAACACACGTGCTCAACATGTAGAGTACTGTGGCCACAAATGGATCCTCAAAGGTCTAAATATCTTCTTGGTCTCCAAAGACCGCAGTTAAGTAGGCTGATATCGATAATCACTGGCCACTGTAAATTTGGGAACCATGCCAGACGCATTGGTCTCCCGTTCAACGATTACTGTAGGAGTTGTCAAAACGAGGATGAAGAAGAGACTATTACTCATCTTCTCTGCGATTGTCCTGCTTTGGTGGAGGCCCGTTTTCAGACGCTTGGATCGACCTATTTTGGTGATCTAACCGAATTGTCAAACATTCAATTAGAACGTCTTCTAGAGTTCATTAATTTGTCAAAATGGGTGTGAATCCTATTACTCACACTACTCATCCACGGCAGCTGCCCTGGCTTTCTCATTTCTCATCATCTCTTTCTCTTTGCAACTGTCTCTGTTCTTTCACTCTCCTCTATCTCTTCCTCTCTTCTCTTTTCTTCTTCTTACAGGTTTTTTTACAAAGGGATCAACATGGACCCAAGCAAAGCCGAAATTGGCTACCTGTGTAAACCTAACCTAACCATATAGAACTTGGAATCATCACTTGGTATTTCATTATACTTAGAATTTGTAACTGTTACTTCTTTGGTTTTTATAAAATAGGCCGTTGCTAAAGAATTTTAGCATATATCTTGAACCATTAATTGACAGTACTTCCATAGGTTTACAAAGGCTTAATACCTCTGTTGCTCTCCTTCCAGGATCCTTAAATGGAGATCATGATAGCTTACCTTTAATACAAATAATGCAGTTTTGCTTGTTGACACCATTAACTGCATCAGACTTCTTATTTTTTTTGATGATTTCATCATTTACATGCCAACAGATATATGCCAGAAGTCGTATTCTTCATTTTTCACTTCAGAAATAAGCACACTGTTGCTTGCAATGTTTTATTCCGTTGCATACCATTCAGCAGATTACTTGTCGCAATAACTCCAGAATGAAAAACCCTTCACTTCTATTTAATATGTCATGTACACCAACCAAAAACTAGTAGTTTTTGTCTTTATTTGGAGGTTAGTAAGGGAACGGACTCCGGTAGTGACCGATCCTCCAAACCAGTGGTGTCAAAGTCACTAAGCATGCCGAAGAGGTCTGGTCCATCCCCGTCGAGCGCTCCTAAGAAGACAATTAAGAGAGCCAGATCTGTAGATGATCAACCCTCTTCATCCATCAAGAAGGTGAAGAAGTCAACCAGCCTGGATGTATGCCTTCAAGTGGCGATCATTGATCGGAATGATCCAGATCAGTTCCGATTTTTGGCAATCAATTGATGGTGCAGACTGGGTTAAAGGCGTGAAGGTAGTTAATTTTGGAAACTAGAACTCCATAAAATAAAATAAAATCTGCAATTGGTAAGTGTAGTGACATTAACCCAGCAGCAAAGCTTGAGGTTATATAGGCTTCCGAACTGCCACTACGGTCAATAGTTACAGTGTGGATCCCACCACCTGTAAGAACGGTACAAACCATACTAGCGGTATTGGCCAAACAGACTGGTAGACTCCTTTCAGGCCAATGAAGACATGTGAGCTCACTGTCTGGATCGTAAGTCCTTGATGAGATGGGAGGAGTTGCTAAATTTGTCTTGGCACTGTCAGGTTCCGGTACCCAAAAAATGACAGAACCAAAGAAGCTGCTAGTGGTGCAGATAAACCTGCATCACTGTGAGGCAGCCTTAACTGAGTTAGTAACCTTCCTCATCAATTCGAAGACGGACGTCGCCCTTATCCAGGATCAATGGATTAACAATAATAAACTTTATTTGTCCCGTCTTCTGAGTACAAGGTAAGGACTCGTATCTTGGCAAAGAGTGAATTAAATTTTCTCATTTCTCATTCTTTCAGGAGCGGTGACATCACCGTAATCAACAGAGAAGCCAAAGGTAAGCGTACGCTCACACTGGCTTCGGTGTATATGCCGTACGAGGTAACTGACCCCACCCGGCATATGACGGCATATGCGAGAAGAAAGAGTGCGATCCTTGTGATGGGCTGCGGTGCCCATGCTCATCATTGTCATTGCAAGGAAATCAACAAAAGAGGTGAGTTACTGTTTGATTTTATAACTGATAATAACCTCATCATCTGCAACAAGGGTAATACGCCGACGTTCAGAAATAAAGATAGGGATGCAGTTATAGATTTGACTTTAATTTACCGCTTATAGGATCTCGTTAGGGATTGAAAGGTCGTGTTACCTTCACATTGAATTTTGTCTTGGCTAGAGTGCATCTTTTAGGGATCCTAGGAAAACAAATTGGGGAGCCTTTAATGAAAGGGTTAAGTAAGGCCTGCACAACAGGTTTTATGCAATTTGTTGCCAACTGATTTAGAGGGGGTCGTGAATAAGTTCACAAACCTACTTAGAAAAGCTACGAGCTGTCTTTCAAAGGTCGACTGTTAGGAATAGGACTAAACTCACAGGTCAAGCAATTGACTGGAACAACTGTAAAATGTGTTTCAACAAGTATATATATAACAAGTATAAAGCTGATCTCAAAAGAGCAAAAAGGATTTTGTGGTCCCAGTACTGTGAATCCATTGCTATCAAGATTCCGACGAATACTATCCAAGGACCCTAGGGTCATTGGGTATATCCAAAAGAGTGATAACTCATGGACTGAGTCTAGCTTTGAGACCCTAGCGCTACTTATGGAAACACATTTTCGGTTGGGACCTAGAGTCTATGGCGCCAAGCAACATCTACAGTTTCATAGAAGAGATGATTTTAATGCCTCAGGATGATTTAAATGTTAAGGAAATGCCTTAGTAGTAGGTATTTACCAAAGAGGTGGAGGGAGGTTGTCATTTTCATACCCAAGGCCAGAAAGGCAAGCCACTCACTTGAGGGACTTATGGATCTACATCTTAGGAACAATATTGATACTCACCTCATCAGTGGTGCTGAGCGCCTACCTTAAGCATAAATCTGTTGAGAGTGCACTACTTGAGGTGGTAAGTTGTGTTGAGCACGTCATGAAGAATAGGGACTATACTCTGGCCGCGTTTTTGAGGGAGCCTTCAATAATATAAAGACTGAGGCGATTTAGGATTCGCTTAATGAGCTCGGAGTTCAGGACTTCCTGGTGAAGTGGATTGTATGCATGCTTAGCAGCAGAATTATTAACTCGAACCTAGGAGATCATTGTATTAGGAGAAGGGTTACCAGGGGGACACCACAGGGGGTGTCTTATCTCCTCTTCTGTGGCTACTAGCGGTTAACGGTAGTCTAACGCGATTTGAATCCAAAGGTAGGAAGATCGTTGCCTATGCGGATGACGTGGAGCTACTGGTCAAGGGAAAATTTCTATCCACGATGACTGACATCATGGAGACTGCATTAGGGAAAACTCTCGTCATGGGCGTAGGATAAGGGATTGGCTGTAAATCCTGGGAAAACGGAAGTGGCGTCGAACTAAGTTTATCTAGAGGAGCTAAGTATTTAGGAACTTTCCTTGATGGAAGCAAAATACTCAGGAAAGAATGAAAAAACGACTCAATGCTACTACACATGCAAGAATTCTATAGGGAAGAATTGGGGTCTGCAACCAGATATGGTAAATTGGATTTACACATGGGCTGACAACTATTCTAACTTATGGTTGCTTTGTCTGGTGGGATGCATTGAGAGAGGACAGGATGCTATGGAGATGGCTATGGACATCATTCCATACCTGTCACCCATAGAACATTTTGTAGCTGGCGTGGCGGCCAGGAATCTGCTTAGACTCTATGAGTCTTCGTGACGACCGTACGAAAATTCTGTACCAAGTAGGTCTACTTGATCAGGGTAATTTCCCTTGCGGAATTACGGATTATGATACTACGACTCTGATAAAATTTCCAACTAGGGATGATTGGCTTGTATCCGATAGACTTTTTGATGGGTATGCAGTTTCCACTGATGGGTCCAAGATGGAGACCGACACGGGTGCCGGTGTCTATATCGCTGATATCAACATAAAACGGTCCTTCAGACTCCCTGTCGAATGTAGTGTCTTCCAAGCAGAGATCTGGAAAACGACGGAACTGATACGAAATCATATCGATCCGGGGTCAGTTGTGGCAATTTATGTTGATAGTCTAATGCCCTTAGGGACATTATGAGACTGTTTGCCATTAGATTGTGTTGGGTACCGGGGCACTGTAATGTGCATGGTAATGAGGTTGCGGACGAACTGGCTAGATTAGGTTCGAACATTGATATAGATGACAGAGAAAGAATGATAAAACCACCCTTAGGGATGCTAACGGGGCACTGCTCAGTTAGGGCCTTTGTCAGTAAGTGGGACAGCAATATACCGGACTATTGCAGGTTATGCGAAGATGAGGAGGAAATAGAGTCGATCGAATCTCAGGCTGAAATGGCCAGGGAATTGGTTCCATGACGAAATGGGGGATACTGCGGGTCTTGATCCTCGCAGTTTACTAGGTTTTGTCAAGGGAATTAGTCACATCTTCGGCTGTTCTTTATAGGGGTACAAAGATTTTCTCTCTCATCTCTTTAGCCTTTAGGGCACTGACTTGAAAATTATTTCTATCCTTTTACCTATCTTCTTCTATCTTTCTGGTTTTTTGTCATGGTGTATAACCCTTCTAAACCTAAACCTACAATAAATTGTGTTGAAAATAATTCTAATTTTAGGTTAATTTAATAAAAAAAAAAGCGTTTAAGGTGACGATATGTAAGGCTAAATGATACTCCAAATGATCGGCCTCAATTTGATATTAGCTACAAAGAAAACGATTTGAATGTATGTTAAAATCAATGTCCCAGATATCTTGAGGATCCAAATCTGTCTATAAATAAAGGATACATCAGTTAAATTCCGAAACGTGATTTTAATTTTATAGTTTTCTAGATCTAATTCGGATCTTATATACTGCATGTGGACAATATGTTTAATAGGTTAGGTACATACTTATTTCGGAGTCTTTCTATTTGATAGGCATACATAGTTTCTAGGGATTTTGGGGTGATAGGACTACGTTAACTAGTGGCGTCACGGCTCTGAAGTGGAAAGTAGTTTTTGCAAAAATTTTACCACTAAAATTATATTTTTTAATTGAAATATATATTCGATTATCGTTCCAATAAGATATAAGACACAAAAATTGGTTAAAAATTTTAAAAGTTATTAACAAATTCCTCCGATCCTTTAGTGTCAAAAAACACTTATCTGAGAAATATTAAAAATAATTAACAAATTTTGAGTAATATTTTAATAAAACCATGTCATTACATTAAATTAGTATTAACTTAAATGTGAGCTTTTATCCTCATTAGATAGCGTAAACCGTATTTAGGGTACAGTCATAAATGGAAAACCCTTCAGGCGGCAGTTTCAAAACTCCTAAAACGATATTGTATAAAATGCTTTTAAATTCCAAATCCTTCAAAATATGTCATCGAAAAAAAAAAAAATATTCTCCGAAAAAAGGGAAGAAAAAAGGAGATAAATAACTTATTAACTAAATATTAAATAATATCTTAAAACTAAAATAAAACAAGTAAGAGTGTTATATTCGGCTGTGCCGAATCTTGTATACCCACCATCAAATCATTGCCAAAAATGAATGCTTCCTTATAAATAAACTTTGATATTTAAGAATCCATGCTTTTATTATCCAAACAATTTTCTCATTTATTACATCTATGTATAGAGAAATTTTTGTCGAATTTTGTCGCTATTTGCATTTTTAAGGTAGTAAAAAGCGTTTAAATTATTTTCTGAGAGGGACCTTATTTAGGGGGGACGTTTGGTCAATTATGGACCGATCCTCGTCAAATTTTCTAGAACGATTTTAGTTTAGTCTAGTAATGAGAGTTAAATCCATTTTCAGATGGAGACGGGTTAATGTCAATTATGGACCGCTCCTTATAAAATTTTACAATAATATTAAAGTTCCTATAAAATATGTTCGTGTCGAATTTCATCGCTATAGATGCTTCTTTTAGACAGTAATGAGCCTTAAAGCCATTTTCTGAAGGGGACCTTATATGGGGGATAGGGTCAATTATGGACCGATCCTTATAAAATTTTATAAAGATATTAAGGTTCCTATAAAATATATTTGTGTCGAATTTCAACGCTATAACTGCTTCTTTTAGTCAGTTATGAGCGTTAATGTCACTTTCTGAGGGGGGCCTTATATGGTGGATAGGGTCAATTATGGACCGTTCCTTATAAAATTTTACAATGATATTAAGGTTCCTATAAAATATGTTTATGCCGAATTTCATCGCTATAGATGCTTATTTTAAACAGTTATGAGCGTTAATGGCATTTTCTGAAGGGGACCTTATATGGGGGGTAGGGTCAATCATGGACCGATCCTTATAAAATTTTACAAAGATATTGAGGTTCCTAAGAAATATGTCTGTGTCGAATTTCATCGCTATAGCTGCTTCTTTTAGTCAGTTATGAGCGTTAATGTCATTTTCTGAGGGGGACCTTATATGGGGGATAGGGTAATTTATGGACCGATCCTTATAAAATTTTACAATAATTTTAAGAATACTATAAAAATTGTTTATGTCGAATTTCTTCGCTATTGCTGCTTCTTTTAGATAGTTATGAGCGTTAATGTCATTTTCTGAGGGGGACCTTATATGGGGGATAGGGTCAATTATGGACCGATCCTTATAAAATTTTACAGTGATATTAAGATTCCTATAAGATATGTTCTTGTGTCGAATTTCATTGCTATAGCTGCTTCGTTTAGTCAGTTATGAGCGTTAATATCATTTTCTGAGGGGGACCTTATATGGGGGCTAGGGTCAATTATGGACCGATCCTTAAAAAATTTTACAATGATATTAAGGTTCCTGTAAAATATGTTCATGTCGAATTTCATCGCTATAGATGTTTCTTTTAGTCAGTTATGAGCGTTAAAGTCGAAGGGGACCTTATATGGGGGCTAGGCGAAATCGTGGACCGATATTGCTCATTTTCAATACCAAACAAACTGCATCAATATAAAATATTTGTGCAAAATTTCAGCTCGCTAGCTGCTTCCGTTTGGCCTCTATCGTGTTTTCAACAGACGGACAGACAGACGGACGGACATGGCTAGATCGTCTTAGATTTTAATAAGGA